AAAAAAAAAAAAAAATGTCTTTAGTGGACAGGCTTAGCCCACACCTCTGCAGATGCTTAGGGAGTCATCCTTTGATTAAATACTTAAATATTATATGCCTACTCGTATGTTAAACATAAATTTATGTTGTGAAATTTTAGTTCTGTAAAGAATTACAGTAAAAAATTACATTATATTTTATTTATTTTTTTAATTGGAGATTTGGAGACTTTTTTAATCAATCAATCAATCAAGTCTTAGAACACTTTACAAAAATGCGGTAGTTATGACCATTTTTATCTTTGTTCTTAAGTTATCAGCGCTATTCTTTGTTGCATGATTTACTAATTTTATCTTCAATGCTTTGTTACTTGTGAATTATAGAGCAAAGTACTGCTATGAATGATTTTACTTGACAAAAATTACGTGACTGACAAAAAAGTAATAAAAATTCGAGGCTATGCCCCGGAAGCCCATACCTAGCACCGCCCACAAAACTTGCCAGTGAGTGAATCAAGTGTCGATTCAGTTCAGAAAATAATACATTAAACTGATTTAAACAGGTAAGTCGTCGTTTTGAACTATTAAATAAACCGTGTCATCACGGGAATCAGGTTATACTGAAAACTGACTCATAAAAGTCATTCGTTTCGAGAGTAGGGCCACGATTCCCTAATTGATTCATTAATAAGGTTGGCTCATGAGAGTCATTTGTACGTAAATCGAGCTACACTAGTCGGCGCGTAAAATTTGTGTGCATCCCGCAAGGACGGACACAACAGTAAGTCGTTTCTTGAGATTATTTTGCGGTAGGCTATATGGTGTTTCTGTATCACACTGTATACAGACTGCGAACTCCCATTCAGAACACAAGGTAAATAGGCTGATTTATTTTGCCGGGGTGCTGAAAAGCAGTGCAGGAACACTCTTTATGTTCTTTCCTATTTTTAACCAAGTAGGTTAGCCATCCTACAAGGGGATTCTGCAAGGGGTATGTAAATTTATGAGCACAACTCAGTCATTCTTGAGACGTGGGACAAAACAGGTCCAGCAAGGGTAACTGCTATTAGCTTTTAAAAAATAAAAATATTTTCAATTTTAAATGTCATGAGGGATTAATAATAGAATGTATTTAACACAGTTATCACCTTCAATTTAATTTTCTCATTATTATACCAAATCTGTGTTTCTTAATGTCCTCTCACTACATCTAAAACAGTGTGTCCACAGAGAAGGGTTCAATCATTCATATGCAATAAAATGGATAAAAAAAAAAAAATTAATGATGAAAAAGAGCTTGTTTTATCAAAAGCAACACTTAATAATATCTCCTATCAAAGCAAGGTTGTTTTTTAATGACACATGCATGTTTCATAAGATTTTAAAGTTGCGTCCCCACTTTTTGTCAACACCGTCAGACATTCAATAAAATGTAATAAAATCAGGGAATATCAGGGGCAGCTGTCACTCTGAAGGACCCCCTTGCCACAGTTCAACCTCTGCAGAGTACATCAGTGTCAGACAGGCTCTGCTACGTTTTATAGTTTTAGAATATTTTAAATCCTAATGTTAATATTTCCTGTGTCACAGCCATGATATGTCAACACCATCTTCCAATTTCTGAGGAAATTATTTGAAATATTTAGATAATTTTATTCTCCTGAAGCAGGTTCCATTAGCATCTAGCATCAACAGAAAAAAAATAAAATGGCTACTACATGAACTCCATTGGTTTTGTGAAAGAAATGCCAAATTTGTCAACACCGTCAGATGTCACAACCATAAGATTTTGTGTTCCAATAATATATCAAAATACTTAAATGTGACTCTTGAATAAAAGCGTTATAAACAAAAACATACTCACTGTTTGTTTTAATACAGTAATTGACTGATTCAATGTATTTGATAGTTAAAATTATTACAAATTCAGGTTTTCGTCACCACCGTCAGATGTGTCAACTCCGTCAGTTCTGTCACCTCCGTCAGTTGAATATTTTGATAATATTTCATTATGATATTTTATATTTGTTGTGGAATTGTTGGTCACATGTGAAAGTGTAATCTGTCTGCTAACACGAGAATGTGTTTTGAAATGTTAAAAACATCTTGAATGCTGTTAAAGATAAAGTTGAAATTATATTACACAGTCCAAGGTAAAAAAGCACATTTTGTTAAAAAAGAGAAAAGTTGGGAGGTTGTATCAAAGCATAGCTCAGTAGCTTAGTACATATAAGATACATAAATGTAGTTTCATTTGTCTGAGTACAAGGTTTTATTTTTTCAATTTGCACCGTTTTGTCCCACTTCTCAAGAATGACTGAACTGTATATTTGTACAAAAGGACCAGTAAAGGGAAAGGGAGGACTGCATGTGTATGTAAGGGAAAGAGTGTGTGAAGGGGAGTTTGAGATTGAGGCTCTAAAAATAGGACTTAGTGCTGGCTGGAGGATGGAGATGACATTGATCAACTGATATATGGAGAACAACTCTCATCCCCCATCTCACTCTCTCTCTCTTTCTCTCTGTTTCTTTCCCGAGGTCTTAACTCTGCCTTTTACATTCCTGCTTTGCCATTGCTGTCAGGGTCAAACTCACTCCCACACAATAGTGAGTGTGTGCATTTGGGTATGAGTTTGTGTGTGTATGACTCAGTTTTACCTTTGTGCTGTAACCCAAACTAAAATGTTTGTTTATGATTTATTGTGAAAGGCAAAATTAACAATCTAAAATGGTTAATCAAAGTTATGTTATCATTTACTCTTATGTGGTTTCAAAACATCTGAATTTCTTTATTTAGTAGAGCACAAAACTGAATTTTGATGTCAAACCTGGTGTAACCCATCAAAGGGGGACATTTTCTGTCACAAATCCAACACCCTCTCAAGGCACACTCTGATTTTTTTTGAAAATCCCAACACACTCTCAGTTCGTAGCTTATTTTATGTTTTGGTGAACTTGTGGTTAATTCACATGAATTTGTACAGTCTCAGTTTTCATATGATCTGCTTACACCCCAGTCATACAAAATCACCACTTCATAAAATAGTTAGCAAAAACATCTCTTTTTTTCAGACAAACTTCTCATATGGCTTTAAAATAATTAAAATATAACATATGATTCATATGGATTATTTTAATGATGATTTTATACTTTTTTTGTTATCTTTGTAGCTTGACAACCCCAGTCTCCATTCACTTCCATTAAAAAATGTTGTGCAAGATTGGTGTTGAAACAATTTTCACCCAAAAATTGCTAGTAAATTTCACAAATAATAACAAAGAATCATGTAACATTTAAAAATGAAATTAAAAAGTACATTGGGGGGGAAAAATGGTGTAGAAACAATATTTACTAATGGTGTAGATTACAAATAATTACAAAGAAACAGCAAGTAACTCTGAATTCAACATGTATTTAAACATAAATAGTATTTTCTTGCTAAATGTAGGGTTGCACGATTAATCGAATGCGATTGTCATGCGCATTTTGATAGTAATGCCGGTTCTG